AACTCTGAGAGTGCAAACCTCTGCCGAAGTAGCTCACTCTCTGGGTAGTATTTACTTTAGGATAACGTGACGGATGTTTACTTTACCTACTCCTACATGTGTAATCAATGTAAAATCAATATTGATTTGTAAATAAGTGGAGATGAATAACTTGAGCTTAATATTATAAGAGCATATATTTCTGACTAACTAGGCAGCTCTTGACAGTGTAATGTAATAGTATAAATAGTATATGAGAGTATACGGGAAGATATAATGTGAGATTAAGAATCTCCATATACCAGTATCAAATGTCCCCCGATGTTGTAAATGATGTAAGCATTGTTCCAAAGATAAAATACATTTTATGAAGGTTTTCCTTGATTTGACCTTGAGGGAGAGGTCATACACCCAAAGTAATGTGATATTTAGAGTCCTCACTGTTACAGTATAAACCATACAAGTAAGAAGCACAGTTTTAAATAGCTCTCTCAATCATCAATATTACCACTATGACCTTCAGCTCAATCTATAGACCATGAAGGAGAGGTCAGAGGGAAGTGTGACCGGATATTTTAAATATTGTTATGATACTTTTTATATGTTGACAACAAACACCACGCTTGTAAGAATCATAGTTGCCTTTTGTCATTTTTCAACCCATAAATTATTGAGTTGACCTTGAAGACGTTGGTGATGTAAATCAAACTTTCACAGATTCTTAACATGAGTCTAATCTACATCTCTACAAAGTTTGATGGAAATTCATTCAGGATTTTCTGAGCTATTGAGTTTACAGATGGAATGGATGAAAGCGTTTCCAAAAACATAACCTCGGCGGAGGTAATTTATCAATAATTGGATTACATTATACTTTGGTACATTATTGGATATTTTAATAGGAAAAAACTGACTGCGTAGCACTGTTGTCTCAGAGTATCAACCAAAATTGGAAAAGGAAAAGTCATACAGGAGTATAAAATCTCTGAATTGTTTTCCAGGTTCTAACTGCAGCGTGTCCGATTCTTAACCTACTGAACTTTTTATCTGTTCCTTGATCCAGTTCATGGATCGTTTGCAGCTGCTCCTCATGCCTGCCAAGCACCAGCCGGACCTGATCTACCTGCGGCACGTTCCCCAGAGACGCATCCACCTCTTTACTTTCATCCAGGCCCTGTGCCTGGCCTTCCTGTGGATCCTCAAGTCTACTGTCGCTGCCATCATTTTCCCTGTCATGGTGAGGCAAGGCTGATGTGACCAGTCACAAGTGCACAGAGCTCTGTATTTTGCCCTAAAAATTTAATTGATTCAAACTTTTCCTCTCTTTGTAAGGTTTTGGCATTGGTTGCTGTTCGCAAAGGAATGGACTACGTGTTCTCCCAGCATGACCTCAGCTACCTGGATGATGTCATCCCAGAGAAAGACAAGAAGAAGAAAGAAGATGAGAAGAAAAAGAAAAACAAGAAGAAGGGAAGCATTGACAGTGAAATTGAATTTGTAAGTAAATGTCCATATGCATTCAAAAAAGAAAGGCATGATACAGTTTCATTAAACGGTTATCGTCCAGTTCCCCACATCAAAGTAATCCATGAGTGTTAATGTTTTCATTCCCTCCTCCCACAGTCTGACTTCCCCTACCATGCAAATAATGTCCCCAGTATAAAAATCTCTATGGATATGATGGAACAGGAGCCCATGTTGGGAGATAAATCTTTGGATAGTGAGTACTAGTCAGGATTTGCTTTGCTTTAGCTTCAAAGGGCCGCTCCAACTAAAGGCTTCCTTTTCTTGTCATGCTAGCCCTCTTGCATTTCACTCCTATGACATTTAACATCTTTAAAGATCAGCATGCTTTCTGTCTGTTTCTAATGCTTCTCTGAGCAGCCCATTTGGGCTTTTAACACTAAAAGCAGCTTTGCTGTGCTTGCTTTTCTTTCCCCCCACTACTACTTGAAATTCATGATTGATTGATGTTATAAAAAGTTTTTCTGTCATATTTTTTTCCCCCGCCAGGACCTCCATCGTCGACTTTCCTTCACCCCCATACACCGTGCTGAGCACTACTTTTTCTCTCCGTCTGTGGATAAGTAAGTGACAACCTGCTGTCATTTGAATATTTGTGCATTCAAAAGGCAAAATGCACAAATATTACACACCATGTGATTTTTAAGTTTTTCCTGAGGCGTAACATTTTTGCCTCTTTCAGTCTCGACAGCGGTTCATACAAAAAAGGTTCACCTCAGATTCGAATAGGCCGGGACTCTGTGGACAGCTGTTTCGTCTGCAAGAAAGGGTCCGAAAGTGTCCTGTGAAAAAACCAGCACTACACAGAAACCACACCCATTCTCTCTTTTGTTTTTAGTTTTTCTTTTTGCTTTTTGTACTGTAATACTGCCTCATAACAGTGTTTTTTAATATGCCACGTGCGAGGATTTGAATCCGATTAGCTGGAAAAGTATTTGTCATTGAAAGACTTTGGTGGTACTGAATTTTAATAAGTGCTGACACAAGACCATTTGTATCATTTTACTGCAGGAGACAAAAGGATTTCACAAGGTCACACAGTTTTTTCCTAATCTTCCCAATTTGTATGTTAATAACCGAACAAGAATCAGGCTAGAGTTGTGGTAATCATCAAATAGACCCAGAGATCCAATTTTGAGCTTCATAACACGCACACCACTTTCACTTATTCTTTTTAATAATGTCCCACATAACCAGCCTCTCTTCCTAAGTACTGTGTTTAGTAGTTATTTTTTTAAGGTTATTAAGGCATAGCTCTTTGAACCTTGAGATTCAAACACGGTGGAGGTACTGCACAGAGGATTCAGAGTCCTCCTTTAGTGAACAAAAGACTAATCTATGCACACTTACACAAGGAACTTGATGTGAAGCATCTATCTAAAGATGCGTGTTCATAAACACACCCAGAAGAATAATGCAACATGCTTGAATGTGGCAAGAAGTAAATGGTTCATCAACACGCAGACTGGAACTACTATATTTGTTTCCTAATCTTGATTGTTGCTCCCCTTTTTTCTTTATTTATTATATTTAAACTCATAAAGGTTGCTGGTTGAATATTAAATACAACTTAGCCATTTAACCTTTTGTGGAAATTTGAAGTTTCTTTGATCTGTATCCACTCAGCTGTGTCGTCCCCATTGTGGGGATTTATCCATGTACTATACCTGTATGTAGCACTACCTCTTATTTACCTTAGGTGCCAGGCGTGATATATTAATATATCTGCTGTGCATTGATTTGTGAACAAATACTAAAAAAAACCCTAAAAATCAGGCGAACTGGCACTAGGATCTCTGAATCGTTTAAGATACATTTTGTTTTGGCAAAACATTTAAATACTATGTGCAAACTGCAATGATTTAAAGGGGCAGCATCACCCACATTTCTTATCAAAAAGCAAATATTTTAAGAGTATTTAAAATTTCTAAATATGTTTATTTAACAAGTTTAGTTTGGATGAATAAAATATTAAGGAGAAAGAAAGTCTTGTTTTCCTCCTGATGGTCCAAGAGCTGAAAGCTGGGAAGAGCTGAGAAGTATTTAGCCCATCCCATGCTTCATATTCCTATACACTTAAGTATCAACGTGTTACTGAGTCTGATTCAGTTCAATTGTAAAACTTGTTCAAAATATGTTAATTTAATCAAGTTCCAATCTTTTTATTGTTTTGTGTGTTATATGTATTTGTTTCGTTTTATGCAAATCAACAATCACTGTGAGATTATTACAATAATGCAACTTCTGGTTCTGGAAGAGCTACCGCTTTTTAGTGCGCAAGGATATTTTTCTGAGACATTGGTGTCTATGCATTATCCAAATTTAATTTAGTAACAGCTGGATGAGCAGTGAAATATGCCAATCACACGTTAGACAAATGACTTGATCATGCTTGTTGCTACTTATTGCTTATTGAAGTATACACTGGTAACTTTAACTGATTCGGTTTTAAGGTGTCGTTGCCTGTCTGAATGTAATAAATCCTAATGAACTGAAATCTAGATGATCCTTGAAGAATTGACACGCACAGTTGGTGTCACTTCTGATTTTTAGTGCAAATAGGGGTTTGATCCTTGCTTTGAGCAATCGCTTCCATGTAGGTTGGACACAAAAGCCACATTGTCTTCCACTTTGTGCTTTGAGCTGCACATCTTGATATCTTTGGACTTTCTGGTTCTGAATCTGCAATTATTGTAATATTTTTGATGTTAACGATTTTATACAAGCATCTTATGTGATCAAATAATCCTAGGTTACTCAGAATGAATAAAAATGTCCTTTTTTTTTAATGAAGTAGCATTTGAAAAAAGAGCAATAAAATGGTCCAAATGATTCTTAATTAAATTGTTGTGTTTTTCTTTAACCACCAAATCTCTGTATCTTTGCCCTGCTTTATGTTTGCCTGGCTGTTCTCCAACTATTTTGGCAGCTCGAGGAGCATTTCTTATATTTCATCAAGAGTTCTGCTCTGTTGCTACCTTTTCCTCTGGAGTGACCACTGTCTGCTTCACAAGTGTTAATCTGATAGATGCCAGCGCTCAGTCACAGGGCGAAGAAAGTTAAAAAGGAAAGCTGCATATTTTCCATGATCATAGGACTTGAGTTGGCTTAAATGAAACAAATTGGCTCATTGCTGTGAGACACTGTGTTCTTTTACTTGCCAAAAGGGGGGAGGGGAGTAATAACTTCCTCCTCCACCGGTGCAGGAGAGAACATCATGTTTTGTTGCATAATACTTAATATTACTGGTGTTGTCCAAGCAACCAAACATGAATGATGGTGTGACTGTAAAAGGTCATGGAGATATCACCTGACTGATCTAAGAAGGTGTTCTGAACCTCTGCTTCACATAACAGGAGACTTTTTCTAATAATATGGGCAACCTAATATTAGATTGTAAAAACTGGTCAGTGTAATGCATGCGCTTTGACATTGACCATTAAAACAATAACTTCAGTAAAACCATGTGGTGTGATTTCAGCGTTGCATTTTTGCATTTTGCACGAGGGGGCAGTAGTGACTCTTGTAAAAGCCACACGCATGTTCAACACCAACAGCTCAAAATAGAAAATGTGATGAAGACTGTCTTAGCGCTGCATGAAGATACACAGAAAAGTCTCATCTGTCAGAAAACTGTGTGTGTTGGAAAGAGTTTATAACCAATTGCTTTGGTTACTGCAGGTAAAAGATACTGCTTCTAAGATCAGCAGCATTCAGAGTATGCAGCCAGGTTAGGAAAATCCGCTTTGGCAATCTAAATGTGGTTCTTATTCCTTATGACTAGAATTTATGAGTAAATGATCCTCAAAAAAAAAAGGAAAAAGAAGATAGGAATTACTTATTCATCCCATATTTGGGAAACGTAATGATGTTTGAATGTTTTCTTAGCCAAAATAATATCAGCACATTTCTTGAACATTCACGTCGTATCTACAGTTTGTTCAGATTATTGCCGGCTCCCTCATTAAAATGTTAAAGCTTGATCTGAGGAAAGCAAACAGTTCGTGCCGCAGCTAGAAACAAATGTCCTGCTCAGTTACTGCCCAAGCAGCTTTTATTGCTCATAATAAACTGCTGGCCCTCAGTGCGCGCTGTTCATCTCTCCCTTGACATTGGCTCCGAGGTTCATAACAGTGTCCTGTGATTGCTTGTCCAGACTTTGTTCACTGTTTCATTTCCCAGTCGAGAGAGGCCATTAGTGTGTTTTCCCCAGGGGGCATTATAGGCTGTTCAACAGGGTCATGCTGTTGGTTATTTATTTTTTTTCCATAATAAAATATCTTTGACTCTGCCAAGCAATGCAGTCATTGATTTGTTATTAGAATTGTCACATCTAATAGAGCCAATCTGTGGTCACTCATTTAATTATAACTGTTATGTGTGAGCTGAGGAATGTTTCTCATGAAAGTAACAAGATGCTAAATGTGTTATAGCAGCACGCACCAGGATGCTGGCACGTAGCACTATCTGTGCAGTGTGGGTTCAGCGGCATGACAAATGTGATCTGTTGACGACAACAGTGCTTTGTAATTATGCATTTGTCGCCGTGTGAAAAGTAAAACAAATTGTTTGCAGCAGAAAATCACATAAAGGACAACACGATGTGAAAAAAGCTTTGGCTCGCAGGACGCTTGTAAAAGCACGAGCGGGAATTTTTATGGCACGCAGACAAAAGTGAATGTTTGGCCTAAATGTGCTCTGCTCAGCTCAGGTCCACCTTACATGTGTTTTGAGCCATGTCCAGAACACATAGCAGTGCCATAACATCATTGTTTTGTTGAGGGTGAATACACGGTCCATAGATGGATGTTTTAAGCTTCTTTACATACACTCATCATGGTTATGAGTGTCATTTCTGTTTTTTGTTTTGTTTTGATGATGATTGTAGCGCATACATCTTTAATTACTTTAAAGTGAAGCAAGTTTTACCTCGCCATGAACCAAGTGGGTGCTGACCAACAAAGAAGCCCCTGACTGAAACTTGCAGCTGCCTGCGTGGACAAGCCAAATGTTTTTTGGAAAAAAGGTTTTATGATCAGACGAAGACAAAGATTGCACTCTTTGGCCACAATGATAAGAGCTTTGTTTGGAGGAGTAAATGTGGTGCTTTTAAACCTAAGAACACTTCACAAGCTGCCAAACATGGTGCTCTGGGACTGTTTTGCAGCCAGTAGTACTGGTACATTACCTCGAAACAGCCAGATGGTTGAAATTTGGACACAGGCAGTAGTTCCAACATGAGAATGATCCCAAACACACATCAAAACTGGTTTTGAAATGGATAAAGCAGGCTAACATCTAGAATGGTGTTCCCAATGCTCTAACCCCAAACCCTATTGAAACTCTCTGGACTATGCTTAAAAGCAAACCTTTGTCAGGAAACCAATCAGTTTTGCCCCCAAAAATCAAATATGTTACCATAAGTATTGTTGATGGCTACCAAAACCATCAGGTCGAGATGCACCTTGCTAAGATTTGACTCTGTAAGTATACTCTGACTTTTGAACTTGTGTGGATTATAATAAAATCCCCAATAAATTCCAATTTATGCTTAAAATGTATGCTGTACAATCATTTCACCCTGGAAAAACAACAGTTCAGAGAAATCATCAAAAGCCCAAAATTACCATGACATTCATGCCTGTGATGAGAGTATGTTACTTCTGACTGTACATACTGCACATAAGAAATATTTTAGTCCTTTATGTTTAGTTGAGTAAGATTTTCAAATGATCCCATATTTTCCTGTGAGATTAGCTTCAGATGAGATTATGCAGACGTTTGTCTTGCCCTCTCATTTCTTCCATGGGTTTACACCTGAGGACAAAGAGGCGTATTGTTTTGGATTAAGCATATGTTCTATTATTCTCACATTTTTCACAAGATTTACAATTTGCCACTATTCTTAGACATACTATGACATTTTAATAACTTCATGTAAAGCAACACTATGGCTGTGGACTTTTGAGAAAGCGAAAACTAAAGGCAAAAAAGAAGCCAGTCTGCCCGGCCATAACAATTTCCCCCCTCTGTCTTCTTTCTGTGGTCAGAGTCCATAGAGATTTGAGATATAATCATTTTAACATACAACCTGAAGCAACTGCAGGTAATGCCTGAAGTGTTTTTCTAACACTCACAGTAACTATTTTGCGAGGCAAAAACATTAGCTGGCTTCCTCCCTTCTATCTCGATTTCTACTCAACATTCCACTCGCGAAGCACAAAAACTTTCTGCACCCTGGTCAGGTATCGCTTTGTACAATCACTCCTCACACACTTTCTTCCTCATCTCTCGATCTTGCATTAATCAGATACTGACGACTTTTAAATCCCTCTTCCTTGCTTCTCTACAGTTGATGTATTTTCCCTTATTGGTTACCTTCAAAGCACATTTTCCCATTAATCATGAATTCTCTTTACAGTGTTTTTCCCCTCCTTCTGTGTATGTCCACCTATTGCCGAACTGGCAATAAAGTTGACTTTGACTTCAGTTAAATCTAATGCAGTTGCACAGACTTTCATCACTTAGACTTCACATTTTCTCCACTTATGCAATGTGAGTGTGAAGGGTGAGTTGCAAAAAGGAAGATTTGACTAATGCCAGACTTAGTTAAATCCAAGGCTGATCCAAGACAAGCGATCACTTTAATCAGCACCTGTTTATCAGATTAATGTGCGAAAAAAACCAAATACCAAAAATCAGCTGTCTGTTCTGATGGCCACCGTTGGCCCTCACTTGCAAGGAGTCCTTGATTAGTGTGACATCTGTTGTGATGAGTTCACACAACGCCCAGGGACATGTATTGCTCCCAGCCCCTGCAACACCCAATCTATCCCTCCCAAGCGAATCTTGTCTGTGTCATTTATAAGTGCTACAGCAGTCTCTGCCTGTGCAGGCTGAGGGGATGCAAGGGGTCTCAGTGTGCAGCTTGTTGCTCTGAGTGAAATTTCTGTCAAATGGATTTTAACCACTTGTAGCGGCAGAAAAAGGGGAGTAAAAAAAATCAGCTGTTTAAGGTAAGAATGCAAGGGTCTACCAAAGTGATTTGGTAGGCTTTTAGAAAAGTAAGTAAGTCTTTCCCAGAATATTAGTTTTTATCAGTTCTGGCTTATTTATCAGGGACAGAGTTGTAGTTCAATTATGGATCTGCATAAACTAATTTAATATAATATAATATAATATAAAAAACTAAAAAAAAATGTGTAAAATAAATTTTTGCATTTTAAATATGTACATGAGCACAAACAAGCTACTTTTAACAGCTTCTGAGCTTTTATTGTGATAGATATTTATCTTTATCTAAACATAACGATGTCTTGTTCTCTGTTAGAAAAAATAACAGTGCTTACTTCATCTTTGTTTAAATAGTCTGGATGACAGGGCCTTGACCTGATTCTATAAAAATTAAAAGAAAAAAAACCTACAATGTGTAATGATGTGTTCGATTAATCTCCTGAGAAGCAAGCTCTTGCTTGGAATACAAGTCTGAAAAGTAAGTATCACCTTTAAACAGTGTTTTTTCAAAATAGAAAATACGGAAAAGCGGAAAAGCCAAAATGTGATGCTCCAATAAGAGGGTGGCCTCAGGGGGCCTCAGGAGGTTAAAACACCTATGCATTAGATTTTTAATCCATGACACGAGGACACAGTTTGAATTAACAGTTTATTAAAAATAGCTGAGTAACTGAGTTCAACATCGAAGTCTTGGGAGAAATATGAGCATAGCTTTGGAGAATTTAAAAAAAAGATCAGAATAAAGGTAACCTTCCCAGACTGCTGTCTTACAGTAACTGCGCTAACAATCCACAG